AAGAAGAAGGGATAAATGAAGAGGTCTCTAGAAGTTAGAGGCTATGATTAATGTTACAAAATTTTGTTCATTCTCGTTTTTTTAGCTTAATTATTGGGATTTGCGGAAGCTCGAATCGACAACCGAAATAGTTTGTAAAGAGGGGTCGATAAATCGTTGTGCAAATTTTCTATCTTTCAATCTCCTTACTCCCTAAACACAAGAACCGTCCCGACCCCTCTTGGCCAACTCTTTCGGTTGTTGATTTGAGCTTCCGCAAAATCCCAACATTAATGAACGAACACAAACAAACATAATATGAACGATTCACGAATAGTTCATGAGCAATTCATCGAACACTCTGTTCATTTATAGGTACGTATCTGGGCCTATAATTTTTATCATGTATTATACTTTTAAAACTAGTTTTATATTAATTTTTTTCTCAATATTTATTACTATGGTTCAATTTTTTTCTAATATTTATTATTAGGGCTCTACTCTTATAATTTACTTTTTTCTAATATGTATAAGTGTAAATTTTTTTGTTAATATTTTTTCTAACATTTGTTATTAAAGACCCAATTATTTTTAATACTTATTATATTGACCCTAATTTTTCAATATTTGTTATTAAGAACAAACTTTTAAAATTCAATTTATTTTCTAATATTTATTTGTTATTATGAATTCAATTTTTTTATTAGAAGTCCAATTTTTTTCAATATATGTTATTATGAGCATACTTTTAAAATTTATTTTTTAATATTTGTTATTAGAGACCTATTTCTTTCAATACTTGTTATTATGGAGTTGCCCTTGAAATTTATTTTTTCAACACTTGTTACTGGGACAATTACTTAAATAACGATCTGTAACCACAACAATGATCATTATGCAGTGATAGCAACATCGTCCGAAACTGTGATATCCACAATCGTTATGTCAATAATAGCATATGTTATTAAAAATTTACAATCACGATACTTGCATTGACCACAATATCATTTGTTATGTCCGCAATAACAATAAACACAATGCAATCGAAAACACAAATAACAACTATAGTTTAAATCCCTGATTAGGAGTCTAATTTTTTTATTCATCCGAAGGCCACCAAAATCTCAGAGACGGACCAATTTATTTATACCTATTTATAATATATTTAATTAAGTTGATGTCACCTGTTAATCAAGTGTTAATTTAATTGAGAATTGATTAAAATATATTCATTTTAAATAACAATTAATCTTATTTTAAAATATTTTTTATTTCTATTACACTTTTATATGAACTCTATATAAAAAAACAAAAAAAATCAAATAAACAAATAAACAAAAATCATTAATTAAGATTCAAACACATGTATATTCAAACCTAAACTTCTAAGAACACATTGAGTAATCTTAGTGATGCAAGGAAGTGTTATTCTTGCTAGAAATTTTAAATTCGAGCAACTACTTCTGTAGGGTGTATGCGCGTTATTAATGACTAAAAAAGATTATGAACATATATTATCTTATAATCACTCCAAACAATAAAGTACACAAATAGTCCATCAACTATATTATTGCTTTATTAAGTCCCTTGACTATTAAAAGTTACAAAATTATCCTCCAACTATTGAATGTTATTTTATTAAGTCCCTCAACTATTAAAAGTTACAAAATGATCACTCGACTATTTATTATGTTTCAAACTCGTCATTTTCCCTTAAAAATTGGCGGCTGTTTAAGCTTAATGTTACCATGATGATTAGGTCGTTTGAGATTCTAGGATCATATTTTATAATATCACAGTCAACATGTTAACGTTCAACTTAGAATATCATTCATTTTTAACGAAAAAGGACGAGTTTGGAACATAATGAATAGTCAGGTGACCATTTCATAATTTTTAATAGTTAAGGGACTTAACAAAGCAATATTCTATAGTCAGAGATTCATTTCATAATTTTTAATAGTCGAGAGACTTAACAAAGCAATATTATATAGTTAGGGGACTATTTGTATACTTTACCCTTAAAATAAAAACTAAAATTCTAAAACCATTAAAACAAAAGGCCTCAGTGGCTCTTTATAAGCCCAACTGTCGACTTTTTTTCGAAGCTCAAATAAACCGGAAGTTGAATTAAAGACCCACGATATCCGAGGCCTTGTATCATGCCCAAAATTTCAACTGCTGGACCTAAACGGGCACTAATTCATTTAAGAAAAGAAGACGATTGTTGGACACATGGGTTGACAATAAGATTGCACCACGCAAAGCAAAAGAGCTCAATGATGTCCACTACACAATTGCTAGTTGTGCTACTTGGAATGGTGGCTCTCACCACTCCCTCTTTTGGTGCCTACGGCTCACCCCAAGTCTCCCGTCTATGAACCACCAAAGAAAGAGAAGCCCGAGCCTAAGCCTCCGGTTTATACACCGCCAAAGAAAGAGAAGCCGAACTCAAACCAAAAGTGTATGAACCTCCCAGGAAACCACCAGTATATGAGCCTAAGCCACCAAAGCCACCGGTTTATGCACCTCCAAATAAAGAGAAGCATGAGCCTAAGCCACCAATCTATGAACGTCAACAGGTTCTCCCAGGCTCCCACCTAGAGGGCTCCCACCTAGAGGGCGTCCTCCACTGGGGAAGCCTTAATAGAAATCTCGCACCAGCTGAACTACCATGTCTATATAAATAAATCTCTCAATACAATAAGAGTTGCTTGTATGTCGTTTAGTAATGTTTTCTTTTATGTAGCAAGAACTCGTTGGAATACCCTAGCTTCTACTATATCTTCATGTCTCTCAATCAGACTCTCCTGATTTCAACATATATTCCAAATCCCAACTTTTGGGTTCTGTCATATATTTTACTTGATCAAATAATTAGATGAGAATGAGGTCGGTCGCTTTGCATTGTTATCAATGACATACGTAGAATTTTATGTTAGGGGACGAACTTGAACTTATAAAATTTTAGAGAGTGAAAATAGATTTTCAATAAAAAATATATAAAAAATCTAAAATATATGATAATTTTAAATTTTAGGAGGGCGACCGCCCCCTCCCTTGCCTCCGTCTAGGTCCATTCCTGATTGTCATCATTCGATTAAAAGTGGTTCTTCTTTTAACATCATTCGATTTATAGATGGAAAGATATTTAGGTAGTATATAGATTATATCACAAGGTTAAAAAATGGATGGAAATGAGAGTGGTGGTTCAAGTTTATCCGATTCGATTTGATGATCCGAATATTTTATCGAAATTTATCGTTTAAAAACTCGTTACACAAATTCTGGATCGAAATGTGAATTCCATAGAGAATCCATTTTTAAAGATGAACTTTTTATTTATTGAGTAGAATTTTTATTTGGGAAAAATACCACTTTGGTACTTGAATTTTTCCCAAATTTCTACTTTGGTTATCAAACTTTCTAAATTTACATTTTAGTCACTTGTCAAAATTTTAAGGTATTACAAAACGAATGTTCAGATACCTTACCATCTACGGTGTTCGAACCGAAACCTTTAATTAAGAAAATATTTCCTTTAATCACTGATAATTTGAAAGAGATTTAGTTGGTGGAAACTATTTTATTTGGATCAACCCTTGAGCCGCCTGAATCCACGTGAGTTGAGTAAAAAGCCCGCATTTACTCCTATAATTAGTTATACCAAATCCAATAATAATTAGTTAAAAAAGTAAAAAGATTATACCTCCCATTAGTCATTACCGACAAATAAGTTTATTGGGTAAATTACTCATTTAGTACCTACACTATCAGTTTTATTCTGTTTAGTACCAAAACTTATAATCTTTTCAAAACCATACATATAGTTTAGTTTTTGTTTCTTTTAGTACTCCATTCAAAATTTAACGTCAAGTTTTGAAAAAAATGAAAGTTTAGGTAATAAAACGAATCAAAACTAATAGTTTAGGTAATAAACGTGTTATGTTTTTACGGCGGGGTACTAAAATGAAACAAAAAATAAATGTGTTAAGTTTATGTTATATGACGAATTTAAATTTATAAAATTCCAAGGGAGGACAACTTGAACTTATAAAATTTTAGGGGATAAAAATATATTTTTAATAGAAAATACATAAACAAAATCTTAAATATATGATAATTTTAAATTTTAGGAGTACGACTGCCCCACCCGCCTCCATCTAAGTCCATTCCTGATTGTCATGGAAGTCAAGGAGAATGTGCTCAAACCCAAATTCGATAGAGATGAATATGAAAAATGTGATGGAGTTCAGCCCTGAGATCGTCTTATTTGGATATGGGTGTGTATGATCTAGGTTTCCTTATTTGGAACTATATAAATCACTTTTAAGTGGTTCTTATTATTAATAAAATTTTCCTTTGCAAAAAAAAAATTAACATTATTCGATCTATAAATGGAAAGAAATATAGGTAGTATATAGATAATTATACCATAAGGTTAAAAAATGGGTGGAAATGAGAATGGTTATTCAAGCTTATGCCTCCAATATTGACAATTATGTTCCCCCACATTCATTTCAAGAAGTAACCCAAAGCTTTTGTCTTCCGTAAAGAAAACTATGACATTCTAGAAGTGTTAGGCATGCACTTAAATACGTGGAATGTGTAATATTTCTTAAAAATTCATATGATTTAACCATTGACATAGCTTGATTCATGTTAAACAACGATGATGATGATAATAGTAATAATTAAATTTACATGACAGATAAATTGGCTTACCATAACAGAAAATAATCTACGGCAATGGCTTTTCATTCAGGTCTAAGGATCTAGATACAGAAAACGATCTTCTATATTTAATACATAAATGTATTAGACAAATTATACACAAATTCGAATTAGGTAGATGATGAGCGTGGAAGTTGAAGTTTACACCTCCATTTTGACAAATTTGACCCACATATTCATCTCAACACTCAACTTAAAGCTATTGTCCCTCGTAAGAAAACATATCCCATAAGCTACGAAGATTTTGACAATTTTGTACCTACAAATGTTGAAAAACAAATCGATAATTTTGGATAATAAATTGATCCAAACGTTGTTGAGGAAAATGTGAAACTAATTGTTGGTTCGTAAATGTGCAGATGTGCACGATGTGGGTAACGTTAATGTCCGAACCGGTCAGACCTTTTGTGGGCTTGCGGATCCCAAAGATGAAATAATTTTTCCTCAAATAGAGCATATCTTTTCAAAATTTGCTTTGGAATAAAATGATACATATTAAAAAGTTCCTTTAACAAAAATAGTAATTTTGGAAATTGCTTAATTGCTTGATTCTCATTAATGCTTCATTAGGTCAAAAATTTCCAAATGTTCACACAGTGAACTCTCTATAAATACCGTGTTAACCTACTAGGTTAAAAACAATTCAAAAACAACTCAAAAACCAATTCAAAGGAATTCTTTTATCTTGTTTCTGGTGATAGACGAAGACAAGGAATAGTTCGTGATCTCGACAGTTGTGTTACTGTGTGCTGATCATCTCGTTGTTGTATCCTGGGAGACAAACGACCAAATTTCTCAAACACCAAGGAGTGGCTGAAAATCTGTCTTAAGGAAACTGCGTAATTACATGCCTCAACTTATTTCTATTCATATATTTATTTTTCTATTCAGGTTATTTAATCGAATATTTTCTATGTTATTAATTGTGTTTATTTTATTCTTGATTCATGTACACGAATTTTACGACGAGATCCTATCGAGGAATTGAATGTCATTTACCGCGACTTGTATGAATCAACATGGAAGCAAATTGAATGGCGCTAAGTTTAAAAATGATTGAATGCTCAAGTGATGAGTTCCATTCCTTTGAGGCTTACCCCAATGGGGTATTTATAGTCTTTAAAAACCCTAGAAAATAACATTCAAAACAAAAGATAATTCCTAAAGATAATTCCTAAATATAAAAATAAGATAAATCCTAATTTCCAATAAAAAATTCGGCTAAGTCTCATTCTCCACGCCAGTGCTGATTGGATCTTCTAGAAGTTGCGTACTGGGCCTTCTAGAAGCTTTTGAATGGATGCCACATCAGCTGCCATGTCATCGCCACGTCAACTGCCACATTAGTCGCTAACTAGATACCATGTCGGGTGTGTCATGTCCCAAGTCGTGACGCCTAATCCGGCCATGAATCTAGAAAAATAAAAAATTGTACGATTTTGTTGTTCTTAGCATAATTTCTGGAATTCAATGTCATGCATAGAAAATGAATGAAAAGGTCCACGTTAGCTACTAAAATTATCTAATCAAGGAGTAATAAATCATAAAATAATGCATAATTTAAACACTAATAAAAGGTTGAAACAAAGATATTGTCATTATGACAAACCTCTAAAAAGCAATTATGAGATAACTAAGATATCTCAGATATGCTCAAGAGTATGTATTGTATTATCCCAAGATCATGTTTCCTTAGAAGGATACTCTGATGCTAGTTGAATATATGATATTCAAGATATCAAAGGCACAAGTGAATATATTTCACATTGGGAAGAGGAGTCATGTCATAGAAATTGTAACATCCTCCATACCGGGTTAGTGATTAAATTATGAGATTTAAAAATTCAGTGACCAAATTGGATAAATTGAAAAGTTCAAAGAATTGATTGAAATGTTTAGTGTAGGATCAATTAGCAAAGAAGGTGGAATTAAAGGGGAAAATGAGTCTTTTCACAAGGAAAATAATTAAATTTTAGTTGATGATATTTATAACCACGTGGAAGCTAGTGAGAAAGACCAAAGTTTTCAGATTTCTCTTCTTCTTCTTCTTTCTTCTTCTTCACCGTGAAGACAAAGTTAAAGGTGAGTTTTCTTGTTAATTAAATTCTTGATGAATTTAATGTTGCTTATTGATCATTAGATGATAACTAAGCTTAAGGAAAGCTTAGGTTATCTTAAAATCAAAATATGATGGAGTTAGGAAGGATTAAAGAAAGGAAGTAGAAAAGTGAAATCTTGGAATAGAGTTCATAATAAGAATTAGAAGTGGGATTTGACTTGTCATCAAGCTAATTAAGGAATAGAAAGTGTTAAAATTAAATTTAGAACATGTTGGAAATTGAGTGAGATTCTTGAATTCTATATGGAAGATTGAATTTTTAAGTTTAAGAGGTATTAATTAGTTTAAGTAAGTGTATAAGAGTTAAGGATGTAAAAAGAGGTGAATTATATAGTGTTGAGAGGATTATGAAGAGATTTTCGTGCTAAAATGACATTTCTGGGCTATGTGCATCGATGCACATTCAATGTGCACCGATGCATCAAGGATAAATCCTAGAAATTGTTCAAGGTGTATCGATGCACATGAAGTGCATCGATGCACTCCTTTAAAATAAAAACATCGAATATCATTAGTGTATCGATGCACAAGTAGTGCATCAATGCACCCTATTAAATACAAACATCGAATGAGATTTATACACCGATGCATAGATAGTGCATCGATGCACCCGTTAAGGGATGCATCGATACATGGTGTAGTGCATCGATGCATACCTCTATTAAAAGATGAAAATGGCTTTTCTTTTAACCTAAGAAATGATAGTTTAGAATATATTAATTAGTATACTGATAAGTATCAATGAATTACTATGTAGATACAGAGCCTAAACAGGTTCCAGAACAATTGCACAGTAAGATCGATCGAGGGAAAGGCAAAGAAATATAGGTGAGTGCATATGCATAGCATGAATATAGTGGTATATTCAGTTCTAGACTTGTGAAAAGTATAGATTCAATACATTGATGCATGATTCATTTCATATTGTGAAGCATGATATGAATTCATACTATGTGCATTGAGTAACATGTTTTAAATGAATATGTACACAAAGTTATATAAGCCATGTGATGAAGGTAAGGAAATGATATGACTATGCGATATATTATGTAATTTGGGAAAAGCCCATGTTATATAGATGAGAACTATAGGTATAGTTGGTATGCCAAGAGTAGAGGGTCTACGCGGTCCTTCGGGATATATATGTATTCTTTGGAACATGTGTGAGGTTTTTAAGACACATACTTGATCCTTGGCATATGTATATGATTCTTAAGGAATTATCTACGTGGTCCTTAGGGACAATCTTATATGGCACTACGGTGCAATTCTACGTGGCACTTCGGTGCAACTCTACGTGGCACTTCGGTGCATTTATACGAGCTATGGTGACAGCATCGTGCACAACCTCATAGTACTCACATACCTTAGGTTCTCAGTATGGTATCATGGGCTAGTGAACTGATTAATATGAACTTATGAGTGTTAACGTGATGAGTCTATGTGTAGGAAACATGGTTATGGACATTATACGGATTAAATGCATATGTTATTGCATTTCATTTCATTTTGGGCATTCTCATGATATTTCCTTATTATTATTATATTGCCTCACTAAGTCGATGACTTAGCGTGTGAGTGTTTCACACGTAGGATCTGAGAAAGTAGACGAGACATGTTAAGCAGCTGGGCAACACTACTCCTGCAACTATCAGATCAAAGGCAACTTAATCAGTAGGTCCTTTTGTTATGTAAATAAATGTTGGCATGTAATCAAAGGGTTGAGTTGTGTATGCTCTGAGTATTTTGATAAACTTGTATTAACATATGTATATTATTGTATTTTAATAATATAAGTTCAAATGTTTTATCGGTTTTTTAAAGAGTATTGTTTTGTTTAGTCAATGTGACATCCTGGACTCGTATCCAGGTCGGGTATGGGTTGATGGTGTTACATAAATCTTCAAGAAAACTGTTATAACCAAATCCAAAATGGAATAAGCATTTGTAGCTCTAGACGAGTCTAGAGAATAAGATGAATGACTTTAGAATTTCTTGGAGGATATTCTTGAATGATCAAAGTTTGTGCCCACAATATTCATATATTGGTAGAGAACAAAACTTTATGTATAATGGTAAGTTGTGATATATACATCATTAACACAATACCATTAGACAACTGACCTCAAATAGAGTTATCACTGTTAACTTTATAGGATTAAAGGGTAACATCGTAGATTCACTGACCGAAGGGTTAATATTGAGATCAAGTTAAGAAAACATTGAAAGGAATGAGACTAAAACCCATGAAATGAAAGGCTTTATGTGAAGGAAAACCCTACCTTGTTTACTGGCGATCCCAAGATCTAGGTTCAAAGGAATAACTTAATTGCGTAAACCGTGTGCAATCACTGTGGGGGTTTCTTATCCCAAGTTCATTATTATGATATAAACATTGATTAAATTGGTATAGGTTAAGAAAAGCTTTTAATGACCATTGTGTGCTTCGATGAGTCGAGCAACATAAGTCACCTATGTAAGAGTGAAATGAGGCCACTTCAAGGAGACTATTTGGCATAGTTCTTTCAAACTCTTGCAGAACCAGGCGATGTCCATGGCTTTAAAGACACCCATGAGAACTAAAATTCTTATCATAGGGTAATTGTGTAAAGTATATCGTCGTTTACACAAATGGAAGAAAAATTCAAGGACATCACGTCTACTGGTCAGATAATAAATTAAATATGCTATCATAAGGAAAGGTTCAAATGAGGACACCTACCTATCATGTGCATTTATCGTTGTAGAGTCTATCACCACATCGAGTCAAAATAGTTTTGATAAAATGATCAATTTCATTCATATGGGGATTGTTGAAAAAAGTTCGATAATTTTGGAGCTTTGAATGAGAAATTGATCCAAATGTTGTTGATGAAAATGTGGAACTAATTGTTGGTTCGTAAATGTTCAGACGTGCATGATGTGGGTAACGTTAATGTCCGAACCGGTCAGGTCTTTTGTGGGCTTACGGATATTTTAACCCAAAGGTGAAATAATTTTTCCTCAAATAGAGCATATCTTTTCAAAATTTGTTTTGGATTAAAAAGATAAATATTTAAAAGTTCCTTTAATCAAAACAGTAAATTTGGAAATTGATTGATTCTCACTAATGCTTCATTAGGTCAAAAATTTTCAATTGTTCATAATGTGAACTATCTATAAATATCGTGTTAACCTACTAGGTTAAAAACAATTAAAAAACAACTTAATAACCAATTCAAATGAATTCTTTTCTCTAGTTTTTGGAGATAGGCGAAGACAATGAATAGTTCATGATCTCGGTAGTTGTGCTACTGTGCGCTGATCATCTCGTTGTTGTATCCTGAGAGACAGGCTACCAAAGATCTTAAGCACCAAGGAGTGGCCGAAAATTTGTTTTAAGGAAACTGCGTAATTGCATGCATCAACTTATTTCTATTTGTAACAACCCGATTTTCAAAATAATATTTAATTGAAATTGGAGGTAAATTGTGAAAATGGGTGAAATTAAGTGACTAAAGTATAATTTATGAAAACTTGTATGCCATTTTCAAAGTAAAGGAAATTCAGGGATCAAGCCCTGAATTTCCCCTAAAAGTGTCGGCAAGTTTATTATAACTAACGTGTTTTCTGATTTCAATCAGAAAACACAAAAGCTTTTCTTCAATTTTCTTCCTCTCACACCTCCATTTTCAAGTCTGATCCAAACGCCGTCCGAATTCCGATCGTTGTTTTGAAACCACCGTTGTGTTCATCATCGAGCGAGGAACAAACCCTTCAAATTAATTGAAGCGAAACGCGGCCAAACGTCGGGAATTTCCAGTCAAAGTAGCGACGGTTTTGTTAGCTCTATCACCGAGGGAAATCTTAAATTCACCGCTGATCGTTGCTCCGTTTACGACACCTCCCGCACCATCGTGTTCCTTGTGCCGTTCTGAGTTCACCGGTGTCAACCTTGTCCGCCGTAGACGGCGGCGCGTGAGGAGGTGGTGCAGTCAAAGATTCGGCCGATTTGAAATCGAGCTCTCCGCCGTTCAAAAATTTGAACCGATCGTTGTAAGTATCTTGAAATCGCTCAAAATAATTTTTAGAAATTTTTCTGGGATTTTTAGGGCCCCGGAGGACGCCTCACGCGCCACACGCGCCGCCGCAGGGCGAGTGGCTGCTGGAAACCGGTTTAACCGGTTTTCAACCGGTTCTGACCGGTTTGACCGATTTCAACCGGTTCGAACCAGTTTGACCGATCTGAAACGGTTTGACCGGTCTGAACCGGTTTGACCGGTCTGACCCGACCCGACCGTTGACCCGACCCGACCCGACCCGACCGTTGACCGTTGACCGTTGACTTTCTTTGACCAAAACTTAGAATGGCTTTGACCGAGCATTAAACGACCGTTAATCTTTTCCGAGTATACCTATCCTGATAGTTTTCGACGTGCCGAATCCGTTTCCGTGGTACGTTTTGTCAAATTCGAATCCGAAGGTCTCCAAATCTACGGTCAAAGTGGTTGACTTTGACTTTGACCAAGAATTTGAATTTTCGAAAAGTCATACTTTATGTTTTTCGACACCCTGATTCCGATTCCGCAATCCGTTTAGCCAAATTCAGACTCGAAATACCTCAAATTGATAGTCAAACCTGAAAAATGCGTATATACTTAAGAAGTTTAGCTTTGAACAATTAAATAGGATTTGAGACTGATAAATATTATTTGAAGGTACAAGAGACTCTCCGGATCGTTGACAGCTCGACCCAGCTCTTCTAGATCAGTTAAACCACGTGTGCCAGTATTCACCCGTTCGAAAACTGTAGCAGAGCGTGGTGAAACCAGCAATCAGTAGATTTGTTATTTGAATCTATTGTCGAGGTGTGTTCCCTAATTATTATTGAACTGTTTTATTGGTTTTAATATGTGGTACACCGAATTCATTGGTTATTGTTTTATGGATGCACCAATTTAATGTGACAATTTATGGAATATGGCTGCTATCAAATTTTTGTTTTGAAATGGTATATGATTACCATGTTTTTGGATTTATGGAATTTATGTCACGGTGTAATTGAATTTTGGAATTGAATTACGATGGAATAGCTCTGATCAAGCTAATTGGGCCTAATGTGACTCTTGAGGGCCCCAAGATGTTTCATTAGGTCGGCTTTCCTTTGCTGTGTGCTTAGGGTAAGCTATATGGACTTATTGACTTGGGCTTAAGGATACAAGCTTCAGAGCCTATCCTTAAGTCGGCTTTCTTTTTGCTATGTGCATAAAGTAAGCTATATGGAAAATAATTTTGGGAACTACTGATGGTGTACCAGAAAAGGGTTTAAACTATGATTTTCAAAAAGTTAAACTCTTTTACGAATTTGTGAGATTACTGGACTATGATTTGTACCTATTGTGATTTTATGGAAATGTTGGGACACACTGAGCCTAGCTCACCTTTTGAAAATGTTTCCCCCTTTCAGATACTGTCGGTTAGATACCTTGGTTCGAGCACTTGGAGGATCAACATATCTCTTGAAGTAAATCAGATTGTAATGTTCTTATCTGGCAAGTTGATTTTATTTTGGTGACATGGACCTTATTTTAAAATATCGGATTTTATAATGATAACTCTTTTGCTAATACTGCTCGGTTTATTGTGATTTTGAATTTGAAGACATGTTTTAAATTAAATTATTATTTATTTGTACTATATTTAAGAGTTGGATTTTGATAGTATAATTTGTTTATAATTTCATGTTATTTATAATGTGATTTTATATTGATGGAATAACGGTTGCGAAAAATGTCTTTAATAATCATAATGTGATCCACTAGACTTAGTCGAAACGCATAGGTCGGGTCTAGGGGGTTATACTATTCATATATTTATGTTTTTCTATTCAGATTATTTAATCGAATATTTTCCATGTTATTAATTGTGTTTATTTTATTCTTGATTCATGTACACGAATTTTACGACGAGGTCATGTCCAGAAATAAAATGTCGTTTGCCGCAACTTGTATGAATCGCTGAGAAAACAAATTGTGGATCTATAAAATATTTGATTTTTTTTATTTTTGTCTCAAATGGTTATACCTCTAACAACAAATTCATTTCAAAATTTAATCCAAAGCTATTGTCTCTCACGAAGAAAACATATCTCATACACCATGTTTTTTTTCTTCTTTTGATTGATGTGTTCCCTACTCGTCCGCATATCCAAAGCTATTGTCATGTTTATTGTTTATACACATGTCTTTTAGTGCATGCAGATTTGGTTGGTGGAAACTATTTTATTTGGATTAACCCTAGTTGATTTTTCCAAAGGTGTGAAAACAAGAAAATTAATTGTTGGACACTTGGGCTAACCCATAAGGCTCCTTTAGCACTATAAAAAGGGCACTCCTGATTGCACCATGCAAAGCAAAGAGCTCCACAATGTCTACTACATACTTGCTGGTTTTACTACTTGGAGTGGTGGCTCTCGCCACTCCTTCTTTTGGTACCTACGAATCACCCAACTATGGCAAATCACCTCCAACTTATCAACATAAGCCCCCTGTCTATGAACCACCAAAGAAAGAGAAACCAGAGCCTAAGCCGCCTGTCTATGAACCTCCAAAGAAAGAGAAGCCTGAACCCAAACCACCGGTCTATGAACCACCAAAGAAAGAGAAACCTGAGCCTAAACCACCGGTCTATGAGCCCCCAAAGAAGGAGAAACCCGAGCATAAGCCACCGGTCTATGAACCACCAAAGAAGGAGAAACCCGAGCATAAGCCACTAGTCTATGAACCACCAAAGAAGGAGAAACCCGAGCCTAAGCCCCCAGTTTATGAACCACCAAAGAAGGAGAAACCCGAGCCTAAGCCCCCAGTTTATGAACCACCAAAGAAAGAGAAACCTAAGCCTAAGCCCCCGGTCTATGAACCACCAAAGAAAGAGAAACCTGAACCCAAACCACCAGTCTATGAACATCCAAAGAAGCCACCAGTCTATGAACATCCAAAGAAGCCACCAGTACACGAGACTCCAAAGAAGCCACCGGTGTATGAACCACCTTACGGTCACTATCCAGGACACCCTCCATTGGGGAAGCCTTGATTTAATGGTCCCATCAGCTGGCAGCTATTATGGCTATTTAGATAGATTAGTAACCACAATAAAGAGTTGCTACCGAGTCATGTTATGTTTCCTCGTTATTCATGTAGTCATGTTTTCTTCCATGTCATGTCAGCGTGATTGCTGATGGATGTACTTGATGGATTTCCATACTGTTTCTTCTTGTTTTCCAATAAGAGTGTTTTTAACACATGATGATAGCACAACAATACAACAATACTCAAATTTGGAATAAGAAAGAACAACTCGCTAATACTTACTTTAGTCAAACACATCGGCGATTTCAGAAAAAAATTTATAGGTTAGGTCAATATAAACATAATAAAATTTTATCTAAAAAACTAATATATATTTTGATAACCTATTATTGAAAAAATAACAATATGTTAGTATGACATTTTTTAATTGTTTTTCAATCATGACATGGTATTATCTTATGCTGATACATCAACATCTTTTTAAAGACGAGAGACCAAAGTGTCGAAACGATCCTTAAGCTTTTTGGGCTATTGCGGGGAGCGATCCAACTTAATTTTAGGAAATATTGGGTTTTAAAATAAATGCATAAATAAATAAATTTGGAGTCGCCATTGACCTTTGGATTAGGTAGGTCGAATACCCAAAAATATCTTTTAAAATAATTTTAAGAAAAATAATCTTAAAAGATAAAAAGTGATATGCGTTTAACCAGAAATTTATTTTGAAAAGGGTTCGGGAGTCGGTTACGCGTGGGAAATGATGAACACTCCCACAACGCCCAAAATCGGTACCTAAGCGATTATACGTCATCTAAATGCTGAAATTTACAAATTTGATTATACATTTAAATTATAATCCTAAAAAAAAGGTTTTGAAAAGGGCATTATTTCATACGGACAATTCTTAAAAATACGCTCCTTGTTAGTTAAGGCATGTTTTTATGGATTCTCTATTCAAAAAATCATTACCATATTTTTCGTCAAATTATATATTTAATATATAACAAAAAAGTAAATAAAATGAAATAAAGAAAACAGTTGAGTATATAAAAAAGGGGTTATTTTGCATGGGTGATTATTGAAAACACATTCTTTGTTAGTCAAGCACGTTTACATAAACTTCCCATACAAGATAATATTCACTTAATTTTTCTAGTGAGAATACACGTATTTAATATACAAAAATCATTTGAATGTAAAAAATGTATTACTCTATACGAACAATTCTAAAAAGCACACTCCTTGTCAGTTAAGACACGTTTCCATAAATTCCTCATATAAAATAATACTACTTTAGTAAATGGAAGCAAACTATACGAAAACATATATACATATATATATAATAATATAAACTATATTATATACATGTTGATATATATGATGTCAATATATTAGAGATAAACCCAAGGAGGATTTAAAAAGAACAACACAAACACATCAAGCTCGAATGCAAATAAAAGAAGGTTAAACAACTATGTAAATGGATGATCGAAGTAAAAAGATGATAACTTTAAAGGTTAAACTATAAAACCAGCAAGGACTAGGGAAATCATTGTAAATATCATACAAACTAAGCACTGAAATCGTAATAAAACCATCGTCAACGTTCATGACTAAAATGGAAATTATTAAAATTTGAGGATTGAGTCAAGCATTCGGCTAGGGCTGTAAACGAGCCGAGTAAAGCTCAAGTATTGCTGAGCTCGACTCGAACTCAAAAAGTTTAAAATTAGGCTCGACTCGAAAATCAGCGAGCTAAAAATTATCAAGCTCGGCTCGAACTCAAAATATAATATTGAAACTCGACTCGAACTCGAAAAGGCTCAGAAGCTCGAACTCAAACTCGAATTTGAACCTACAAAAATCTTATATTACATTTAAAAATATATTTTTAAAAATTTATAATTATCAATAATGTATTTTTAATATATTTTTAATAATGTAATTTTAAAAAAAATCTAAAATTATAATATAATATTTTTTTCGAGTAGCTCGTTTTAGCTCGTTAAGAATTCGAGTCGTTTGAGCTCGAGTCGAGTTCATTCGATTCAAGTGTTGATCGAGCTTTGACTGAGTCGATCTCGAGTAGCTCGCGATATGTCTCGTCTTATTTACAACCCTACATTCGGCCAAAGCATATAAATGTGGACAATGACTGAAACAAAAACATAATGAAACTTAAAACGCAAATTAAAATAAATGAAAATTCATTTCAGTGACCAAAATGTAAAGTTACAGGACTCTAGGGCTACAACGTGACGGATTGAAATTATGGGGGATCTCACGTGATTTATCCCTGCCCACAAAATCGCGTCCCCCACAGCTAAAACGACGCCGTTTCTAATTGGGTATATATACCCAAGCCCAAAACCAAAAATGATTAAACAAACTCATTTTAACAAAACCCTTTCTCTTTATAAAGAGAGAAATCTCTTTTCTATCTGCCTTCTCTCCTCTCCAATCCTTGTCGGAGGAGGCCGAAAGCCTCCGGCCACCGCTCACAGGAGCACTCCTTCGCCACGGCGGTCGGAGATCTATAAAACCCACTCAAAATGACGCTTGACCTTCCTTAAACCCAAAAACAAACACCACTCCACCTAGAAATACCCCTATCATCCTAGATCTAAAAGAAACGAATGGATTACCTTAATTTTTGACGGCCCCTCCTTTCTCCGGTGGTTAGAAGTTCAGCTTCGGGTGGTAAGTCTCTCTCCCTTCTCTTTTTGTTTTCTTTTTTGTTCTTCTCCCCCCCCCCCAAAGTCCCATCTCTCTCTCCTTTTTTGCTCGTCTGATTGTTGATGGTTGTTTTCCCTTTGGTTCGGTTTTGGCTCCATTATATATTAAAAACCCCCTTTTTCTTTCATATTTAGTGTTGCATGCTTCTGGTAAGGGTTTGACCCTTTGTTCTTTTTTGTTGTTTTGCTATTTTCGTGCTAGGGGTTCTGACCAATGATGGTAGTTCAGCGGGGATAATGCCCTATCCCAAACGGAGGTGACGTGGGTTAAATAGGGGGTAAAAAAATCACCCCGATGCCTTTTGTCTTCTTCCGATGACCAGTGTAAAATCTGGCGACGGTGACAAGTCTCGGGAACCGGTGAGTCACGGACAAGCATCTTGGACGGGTGCGTGTAGGGATGATTGACGTGTGGCGGTGGCAGGCTTGGTGTGTGGTGGCAGATTGGTTTAGGTCAAACCCCTAATATTAGGTTAATCCAGACCGTTAGATCAAATATGATCCAACGACTGAGATGCAGCTGCTGTGTATCCAAAATGGTGAAAACCCTAGCCCTCTCCTGAACCATACCTAGATTCGGCTCCCTGTTTTGGGCCCCGTACAAAATGGGCATCTACACAAAGCATAACCAAAATGTAATATTTGTGTGATTTAAAATAAATAATAATTGAGTGACCAAAATAAAAACTAAATAATAAATGAGTGAATTAATAAGTAATTTACCCTTTTTTGGGCATAAGGGGCAATGTCTTAGGTAGGCCTAGGCCTAGATACGTCCTAGTCAAACAAAAATCGCATTCGAAACATCCTCATTGTACACAACTCTCAATCTCCAAAATATGACTATTCATCATCTTCTTCAACCCGTCTATAAATTTTACAATAAGGGATAAACTATCATATATCACTACAATTCCATTTATCCCATAAATCATTTTAAAGGAAATAAACTAAAATTGTAATATTTCAGGGAGAAATATATAATTTTACCATTATAAACGGGAGTTCACCTCTCAAGATTACGTTCAAACTTCAAACCACAAGATTAGCAATATGATGTGAAAGTTTGCATAAATTATAAAATATAAAGGGATTAAAACCTGAATTCATCATTTTCCACCCTGCAAACACAAGTTTCTTTAGTGGATGAAGACGAGCCCCATGCAAAGGGTGTTTAGTGGACAATATTTCTAAGACTTTTCTCCCAAACAAATCTGTTGAATTTTTGTTAATAAATTTTCGACTCATTTAAAAGAAGTTCTGTAAAATTATTGTCTATGTTATTATTTTTCTAAAAAAAATCTAAATTTAGTAATATTTATTTATAAAAACTTATTTGAATTCAAAATATTAAAAAAAATAAAATTACAATGTAACAAGCAACCCTAGTGATTAAATGAATGATTATTATTCTTAGATGTCCTGAGTTTGAGTATATGTCATTATAGCGTATTTAATCGTTCATTATCAGATGGTTGAGAGATTTTAGAACATATACTACTACTTATAATAATCCTAAACTAGTAAAAATCAAAATAATTTTTTTATAGCTAGAATCATTCCTTAAATCATTATTTATGATATAATCATGTTATATTATATGATTATTAAAATTATATATATATTAATAATGCATAATTATACAAATTTCCACGTCATTAAATATGCTATATATTTATATATCGTATCAAATCATATTTATGTTGTGTCGGAAAATTTCAATTCCCATATTGACTATGAAATCGTGTTTACCTAACTATCGGCACCTAGTCCATGCAAGGTTCTCGACGTCCCCACCATCCTGTTCGAGAATATGCTTGAAAAATTCCATCTCAGTAAATAACTGGAGGTTTGACAAACAAGATTGATGTCAATGTGACACTACTACTGTCAAATCTTTGAAATAATTTGTCTTTTACTTTTACCGTCTTGTTTTGTTCTGTTCTCGTGTTCGAAAGCTAAGCAATATTATCTGCTCAAGATAATAAATAAAGTTATATTCGAGTTTGTTTATTTATTTTTAAGTTAATTATATTTGATTTGTATTGATTTAAATTTTTAATATTATATATTTGTTTAGCGTTCGCTTACATATTCATTTAACGCTCATTTAATGTTGGGCAATCAACACTATCTTTTTACTTTTTATTTGTAAGCGGAAGGAAAATGGTGGAATTACACCATAATTTCATCTAATATATTATTATTTTTCTCGTCCGTGGAGATATGCAAGACTGGGTCACATTAAATCTTTTGCCTCTTGTGCATGTCTTATTTTATATTGATATAACTTTGGTTATTTTTACTTACGAAATTTTAACAAAAATCATATAAATATATAAAAATAATAATAAATTATTTTTAATGGTAAAATGGATTATTCAAATCCACCTAAACTTTATCTAGTTTTAGCTCATTCAAATTATAAAATTTAATTACGAACCGACGGACACATCTAGACATGCATGTCATGGTGAAATACAAGGTGACGAGGAAATTAGCCTTTTGATATTTTAAAGTTGGATTTTGGTGAGAGTAAAGCCAAGGAAATTCAATGCTTTCTAACAACTTATTTTATCTTCTTCACTAGTGTATACCTAACCTGACCTTATGTTGCTAATTAAGTTTATTTATGTCTACTTTGACCTTTAAGTACAACTTCCATCCACTACGAAAATGAAAGAGAGTTATCAGAAGGCAGCGTTACCACTATTTCGCTTGCGCTATCGTGGTCTCGGACCGCTATTTGAAACCCTTCTCATACATCTTTGTTTATACTCAAGTTATGCGCTTATATTTATGAACCGTGTAAAGTATAGTAGAGTAAAAGTGTGTTGTTGATCTTTTAAAATTTTACGTTCGAATATTTTTATGTACATGTTACAAGTTATATAATTCGCGATGGGACGACGATATTATTAAAAGAGTCTCAGTGATATTACCCGAATTTGAGTCAAAATGTTGGCACATGGAAATGAGAGTGGTAGTTGAAGTTTACACCTCCATTTTTGACAATTTTGTACCTACAAAAAAACAATTCATCCAAACCTGTTGTCTTCCGAAATAATTTTTTTTTTCAAATTCAATATTAATTATCGTTTATTTCACATCGTATTATTACATAATACACATTAATGTTTACATGAGAGTCAACAAATTTTATAACGATTTTACTAATATGTGATGTGATTAACATATATTGATAATTTAAGAATAAAATTAGAATATTTAAAAATTTAAAAATAAATTTAAAAATGAGAATTATAATTATTATTCTATTAATAGTTTAGACCGAAGAGTGGATTAAGTTATGTAATTGTGAAATTTTTGAAAAAATGTCGAAATTTTGTTCAATGCTTTCCAATAGTTATATCAGTAATTTGATCTTTGAAAAGTTATAATAGAAGAAAAATAAGTGTGTGAAAAGTCACACATGTGGTAAAGTTAAAATGTAATATTCATAATTGATTTCTAGGCCGCTTATGAGCTATCTACTTTTTTCACCTATGGTATTATTTTAGGCATAATGTCAAAAGTAGCCCTTAATGTTTACCAAAATGATCATTTTGATCCTTTTTGTTTGAAGCATTTTACCCCAACGTTTCACTTTATGGCAAAAAGCTCTATTTATAGATGAAAACTATTACTCCATCCGTCTCATAAAAAATGTCTTTTATTGACTTTTTAAAAGTCAATGTTTTTTAAAAATTGACATGATTATTTTAAATAATCAAATTTTTTAAAATATATATCTGAAAATTACTTGATTGGAGGTTTATAAAATATATTTTTACATATTTTTATCAATAATAAATTTTTAATAATAATTGGTCAATGTTTAGAAAAAAATGCCCAAAAAAAGTCTATAACTGACATATTTTATGGGACAAAAGGAGTAGCTAACACACAATTAAAGATTTAAAATAGGTGTCTTTTTTAACCTAAAATGAAATATTGAGGGTTAAAATGCCTCATAAAAAAAGAATAAGGGACAAAGCGATAATTATATCAAATATTAAAGACCTTTTTACCATAAAATGAAACGCCTCATAAAAAAAGAATAAGGGACAAAGCGATAATTATATCAAATATTAAAGACCTTTTTACCATAAAATGAAACACTGAGGGTCAAAATGCAACAGAAAATAGAATAAGGGGTAAAATGAATATTTTAGTAGTACTAAATGTCAATAATGATCATTAGGTGAAAAAATCAGCTTCATGTACCAAGTACCAACCGGACAGAATTAGGTAACGATAAGCAAATTGGGAGAAAAAAAAGTATTCGGACACATCTCATTAGTTATTACCGACAAATATATTAGAGATTAAAATTTTGAAAATAAAATTAAATAAACTTAAATTGGAGTAATATTTTTATAATAAAGTTTAAAAATATTTTATTTAAATTAATGTATCATACACATACATTTTCAAATTGTATACCATGCCAATATTTTCTTTTATATATATATATATATATATATATTTTTCATGTCTTAGCGTTGTAAAGCAATTGTATCCGCATGGTTCAAAATTTCAACTAAGTGGGATCGGAATGGACCAAATTATATTTATGAATTACTCAAAGGCTTTAATAACACTTAGCTGGTTATTTCCAAAGGTGAAAAAACTAACACTTGGGCTAACCCATAAGGCTCCTTTAGCACTATAAAAAGGGGCACTTCTGATTGCACCATGCAAAGCAAAGAGCTCCACAATGTCGACTACATACTTGCTGGTTTTACTACTTGGAGTGTTGGCTCTCACCACTCCTTCTTTTGGTACCTACGAATCACCCAACTATGGCAAATTACCTAAGCCCCCTGTCTATGAACCTCCAAAGAAAGAGAAACCCGAGCCTAAGCCACCGGTGTATGAACCACCAAAGAAAAAGAAACTTGAGCCTAAGCCCCCGGTCTATGAACCACCGAAGAAAGAGAAGCCACAACCCAAACCACCGGTCTATGAGCCCCCGAAGAAGGAAAAACCCGAGCCTAAGCCACCGGTCTATGAACCACCAAAGAAAGAGAAACCCGAGCCTAAGCCCCCAGTTTATGAACCACCAAAGAAAGAGAAACCTAAGCCTAAGCCCCCGGTCTATGAACCACCAAAGAAAGAGAAGCCTGAACCCAAACCACCAGTCTATGAACATCCAAAGAAGCCACCAGTACACGAGACTCCAAAGAAGCCACCGGTGTATGAACCACCTTACGGTCACTATCCAGGACACCCTCCATTGGGGAAGCCTTGATTTAATGGTCCCATCAGCTGGCAGCTATTATGGCTATTTAGATAGATTAGTAACCACAATAAAGAGTTGCTACTATGTTTCCTCGTTATTCATGTAGTCATGTTTTCTTCCATGTCATGTCAGCGTGATTGCTGATGGATGTACTTGATGGATTTCCTATACTGTTTCTTCTTGTTTTCCAATAAGAGTGTTTTTAACAAGTTGTATAAAATTATTGCCTATGTTATAATCACGTTAAATTATATAATTATTAAAAATTTAAATTAATGAGGTGAGATCTAGTTACACATTATAAAATTAAAAGATTTTACATTAATTTAAGATCATTAAATAAGTAAAAATAAATTATTAATACTAACAGAAGAAATGAGAAAATATTCAAAATGGTTTCAACTATTTATTTTTATTCATCTCACAATCTTAAATTAATGTTATATATTTTAGTTATGAAATGACCATCCAGTTCAGTTGGTATAGCACAAGGTTCTTAACCTTGGGGTCGTGAGATCGAGTCCTATGAAGGGCATTTCATAATTCAGAGGTCTCCTACGGAAGCTGCTCTCAACTTGGTGTTGGGACAGCCTACTATCCTACCTCCCCTACCCCATTACATATGGGAATAAGGGTCAGCTAATTAATTTTAGTTAATTGTATCACATGCCCTTCAATTATGACTCTTATTTTAAATTGGGTCTCTAAACTTTTAAACATGTCAATTTCATCCCCAAACTATGATTTAAATACTAAACTGGACCTCAAATTTTTAACTATTTCAATTTCATCTCAAATTATACGTATATACTAATCAGTGGCGGGTGTACATTGTTTCCAGGGTGGTGAATTTTCTTCGGTTACTTATTGATTTTATTGTTTGTGCCCACCCTGAAATTTTATTTGTGTCCACTCTATATAAAAATTCTCTAGTATTAATATATGTGTGCCCACCTTGAAAAATATTTATAGATCCGTCACTATACTAATCATATCCCTTGCTGATAAAATTTTTAGGCCAAGTTATTTATTATATGTTTGAAAAGAATAAAATTTAGGTTAAATTATGATTGAAAGTGATTATATAATTGGATGAATTTAGGGATGAAATTAGAAGATTCAAAAGTTTGGAGAATAATTTAGAATGAGAGTCATAGTTTGGGAATGAAATTGAAATATTTAAAAGTTTAAGAATAAATTTAGAATAAAATTCATAATTCAATAATGAAATTAAAATATTTAAAAGTTTAAGGATAAATTTAGAATAAAAATAATAATTCAATTATGAAATTAAAATATTTAAAAATTTAAATACTAATTTAAAATAAAACTCAATATCTTTATATATAGTATCAAATCGTATTTACGTTGTGTCGGAAATATTCAATTCCATCTGGACCATGAAATAGTTATTACCTGCCTATGGGCACCTAATCCATGCCAGGTTCTCCACGTACGTCCCCACCAACCTGTTCGAGAATATGCTTGAAAAATTCCATCTCAGTAAATAATTAGAGGTTTAAAGTGACAAACAAGATAGATGTCAATGTCACACTACTACTGTCAAATCTTTGAAGTAATTTGTCTTTTACTTTTACCGTCTTGTAATGTGTTTTGTCTTGTTCTTGTGTTCAAAAGCTAACCAATATTGTCTATCTGCTCAAGTTCGTTTAAACGAATATGAATAAGATTTTAAGTTCGTTTAATTAAATGAACGAACATGAACAAAGGTCTCGTTCGTTTATTTACGTTCGTGAACGTTCGATTATATGTTCGTTTATGTTCGTTCATTTATGTTCATTTATGTTCGAACAGAGGGCAAGTTGAATATGTTACGAAGATTATTGAAGTTGTTTCGATTTCAAGAAGATTGTTTTGTTGAATAAATTAACTTTAAGACTTTATTATGTTCATATAGCTTATTTATGATTTATGTATATTTTTGTCGTATTCGAACAAATTAACTCTAAAGTTACAAGTTATATTAATGAATTTTAAGTTGTTATTCTTGTTGTTTACTTTTTTTTTACATTCATTTGCTGTGTTCGAATAAGTTTTTGTGTGGGTTTGTGTTGTTCATTTATGTTTGTTTATTATGTTCGTTTATGTTCGTTCGTTCGTGTTCGTTTATTAATTAAATGAACGAACATGAACAAGTTATATTACTTAATGAACGAACATGAAAAAAAAATTGTTCGTTTATATTCGTATTCGTTTATGTTCGTTTATTTATTAAATGAACGAACATGAACATACTTCCGTTCGTGTGCGTTTCTGTTCGTTTACAGGCCTAATTTTGATAGTGTATTTAGGGGCGTAAATCAATAGAAATTAAATCAATAGAATCGTATTCGTATTTATTTATTTATTTATAAAGTAATTGTATTCTATTCGTATTTATTTAAATTTTTAATACTATGTTTGTATTTGTTTTAGCATTCACATACATATTTGTAAACCAAAGAAAAATAGTGAAATTATACCATATTTTTATTTAATGGATAATTATTTTTCTCATCCGTAGAGATAAGTAATGCTAAATCACATCAAATCTTTTAACTTTTGTGTATGTCTTATTTTAAGTTGATATCACTTTGTTTATTTTTACTTATAAATTTTTAACAAAAATCATATAAATGTACACATATATTAAACTAATAAATTATTTTTAATGGTAAAATGGATTATTCAAATCCACCTAAACTTGATCTAGTTTAGCTCATCCAAATTATAAAATATAAGGACGAGATTCAACTACTTTTTTCCTTGGCACCGACAGACACATCAAGACATGCATGCATGTCAATGTCATGGTGAGATATAAGGTGACGAGGAAATTCGCATTTGATATTTCAAAAGTTGGAATTTGGTGAGAGTAAAGCCATAGAAATTCAATGCTTTCTAACAACTTATTTTATCTTCTTCACTAGTGTATACCTAACTTGACCATATGTTGCCAAGTTTATTTATGAATGCTTTGACCTTTAACCACTACTTCCACCCGACACGAAAACGAAAGAGATATATTAAGAACGATATAAGTTCAAATAATTGTAATGTTTTAGGTATATAATTTATGATAAAGGTAGTGAGGAAGTAATTACATCGTCAAAGTGTAAAACCAGAATGCATATTGTTTATTGAACTATAACACTACTTATATACAAGTGTTTACAGCCAGCCTTTATAACTGCTCAACAGCTAACAACTAACATTTAACAATTGTCCCTAACAGCTTTCCTAACTGTACACATCAGCTAACAACTTCATCATTCAACATTCTCCATACTTCTTCTTTCTCCCAAAGAAAAGATTGCACATTCACACTGGCTTTAAACACTTCAAACCGAGTAGCAGCTAATGGCTTTGTGAATCCATCAGCAACCTGATGACTTCATGGCACATAGTTCATCAACACTTGCTTCAATGCCATCTTCTCAGGAACAAAGTGAACATCAAGCTCAACATGTTTATTCTTTGCATTATAGACATGATTAGTTGTCATGGCTACAACACTGCTGTTATCGCACCAAACTATTGGAATTTTCTGCCTTGTAACACCCAAATCAATTAAAAGAGCATACACCCATGTTGTTTCAGCAGTAACATCTGTTACACTTCTATACTCAGCCTCCATAGTCAACCTGGAAACTGACTTTTGTTTCCTCGAGTTCCACATTACAAGATTATCACCTATAAACACACAATAGCCAGAGACAGACTTGCGATCATCAGTGTTTGTAGCCCAATCAGCATCAGCAAAGGCTACTACATTGAATCCTGCCACTGCAGGTTCTATGACCAATCCATGATTAATTGTTCCCACCAAATACCTCAAAATCCTCTTAACTGCAACAAGTTGTTCTTATCTTGGAGCATGCATGTATTGTGCTGCCTTATTAACACTGAAGGTAATGTTTAGACGAGTGTGACAAGCATATAATAATGCACCTACAATGCTTCGATACTCATAGGCATCCTGAAGCAACACCCCCGCATCTTGACCCAACTTAGCAGACTCAAGCATGGGTGTAGATGCAGGATTAGCAGTGCTCATTTTGTCTTCATCAACAGCTCTAGGATAAACTTCCTTTGGCTAAGAATTAATGAGCTACCACAACAATTAACTTTTATGCCCATAAAATAATGTAGATCACCAAGGTTCTTCAGGGCAAATTCACTTCCAATCAATTTTACTACTTCTTCAATCTTCTTGTTGAAACTTCCAGTCAACACTATATCATCAACATACATGAGTATGTAAACACATTGACCATCTTCCCAACAAACAAACAACGATGCATCTGCTAAAGACTCTTTAAACCCAATCTTAACTAGGCAGTTCTTCAGTTTGTCATGCCAGTTTCGAGGGGCTTGGCGTAAACCATACAATGCCTTTTTTAACCTGCACACCAAGGGACTACCATCAGCAACTACTTGCTCAAAACCAGGTGGCTGCTGCATGAACACCTCTTCATGCAGATCACCCTGCAGAAACGCATTGTTCACATCCACCTGGCGTAATTGCCAGTCATTCGTAACAGCTAATGAAAGAATTACATTAAACGTTGCAAATCTGACAACTGGACTGAATATTTCACCAAATCATGTCCTGGCACTTGAGAAAAACCTTTAGCTACTAATCTAGCTTTATACTTGCTAATAGAACCATCAGAGTTCTTTTTCAATTTGAACAACCACTTACACCCCATCACTGACCGTCCTTCAGGTAGTTTCACTAGGGTCTACATACCATTCCTCCTTAAAGCTTTAACCTCTGCATGACCTGCTGCTCTCCAATGAGGTGACTGAATTGCTTCATGAATATTAAGAGGTTCCATGTCATCATAGCTAGCCACATACAACTTAGGCTTAAATATCCCACAATTACTCATTGTCAGCATCGAATGTCAATTCAACGAACTAGCATCATTTCCATCTCTTAAAGGGGCAACATTGTCAAATAAATCAGGTACTGCCACATGATGTCTTTGATTTGCTGATTCAACAGCTTCAGCTGCACCAACTTCACCACCTTCATTTTGTTGAGTTGCAGCTTCTAGGGAAGTTTCACCCATGTCAACTATGACCTGACCCATATGACCAGAGTTTCCATCCATATTGTCTTCACATGCACTAATTACTTTATGTGGAACAACTTCAGTCAAGCCAGCCAGATTCATATCATCAGAAGCCGTTCCTTGACCTGCACCAGCCGTGTTGACTCGAAATTGCCTTATATCAGTAACAACCTCAAGTTCTGTAGAGCTTCATTTATTATATACAAATGTATTACTCGATCCTTCAAACCCTATAAATGGAAAGGTAAACTCATCAAAAATGACATGTCTGAAACCATTTATCCTACCACTAGCTGCTAAACACATGTAGCCTTTGTGCTGAGGGTTGTAACCAAGGAATGTACATGGATGAGAATGAAATTCAAGTTTGTGCTGCTGAAACAACCTCAAGTGAGGAAAACATTTACATCCAAAGACTCTCATGAAATCATAATTTGGCTTCTTTCCCAACAATTCTCATAAGGTGACAGCCCATCCAAAACCTTAATAGGAAATCGATTGATAAGAAATACTGCAATAAAAGCTGCATAATACAAATAACGCAAGGGCATAACAACTTGTGCTAGCAAAACCAAGGCAAGCTCAATGATGTGTCGATGCTTTCTTTCTACCACACCATTCTGCTTAGACGTATGGGGGCAAGCAACACGATGTACAATCCCTTCTTTTAATAACACAGATGACAGACTGCGATACTCTCCACCCCAGTCACTTTGTACAACCTTCACAGACAGCCCAAACTGAGTTGCAACCATTTGCTGAAACACCTTGAACGTGTTTACTGCCTGCGATCGTTCTTTCAAAAAATAAACCCAAGTGTGTCTTGAATAAGCATTAACAAATGACAAATAATAGTAATAACCATTTGAAGCTACATGAGTTGGTCCCCATATATCAGTGTACACAAGTTGAAAGGGTTCAATATAGACAGTCTTGGAATGACAGAAGGGTAACTTATGGCTTTTGCCAATGCAACACGCTTTACAAATTTTATTCACATATTTATTAACTTGTACAGCAATAGCTTTGAATACACTAGCAACTATATCATATGTTGCATGCCCTAACCTTCTATGCTAAAGGCTGTAAACATCACCAACTGTAGCAACATTTACAAAGGCATTTTTACAAACACTCGACATAGTAGTATTAGGAAACACATAAAGTCCCTCTCGCACTCTTCCTTGAAGAAACACCTATCCATTAACTGCATCACGAACACCCATTGTTTTCCTTAACAAACTTGAACACATATAACAAATTTTGTGTTATGCCAGGTACATGAAGTAAATCATTAACTAGCATCACTCTAGAAGCAGACTTCATGACCGTACTGCCAAACAAATTGACAGGTATTGAAGCACCATCACCCACAACTAGCTTACATGGACCACTGCAACCAGTTTTACGAGTTATAATATCTGCATCTGGAGTGACATGGTGGGTAGCTCCATAGTCAATAACCCACTGATCCTGCTCAGCCACTGATGCATCAGCACTGGTTGAAGCATGAAGTCGAGACCCTTCAAAGAACACATATGTGCACACTTATCATACGCAGCAGTATGAGCCTGAGCAGGTTCTTCATCATATCTGGGTTGATTGTTACTAACAACCTGAAACGATTCATCATAATTGTACCAACAACGATCAACTAAGTGACCAATTTTACGACAAAAGTAACACTGAACACGCGACATGCCTCATCCTCGACCTGCTCGACCACCAGACCTGCCACCTAACCGAGCAGCAGTCATATGATCTCTATCATAGCTTGAATAAGACCGTTTGGAGTAACCACCTGAACCAGCCCCACGAGCAATATGAGCCACAAACATCACCGTTTCTTCTTGAGCTGCAAAACCAGTGATCTGTATCTCTGCATCCATCAGCATAGTACAAACCTTATCTAAGGGCAACATGTCACTGCTCGACGTAATAACATCCATAAACGGCTGATATTCACTCGGTAACCCTTTCAAAATGCTGGCAATATGTCCTACAAGACGAATCGGGCTTCCACATAAAGCCAAAACATCACAAATTTCTTTGACTTTAGCAATGTAAACCCACATATTGTCTTCTGTTTTCTTAAGAGATTGAAGTTTACAATGTAAACTCATCACCGAGGTTGAAGACCTAGTTGCAAAGTATTGCAACACCGTAGCCCATATCGATGCAGCTGTCTCAACTCCCACAAACTGAGATAGAAGATTTGGACTAATGGTAGATAGTAACCATAACGTTAACGCACTGTCTTGGGTTACAAAATCATCGTAAGCTTCATTGGGAACCAAGCTGCCATTTTTATCAACAACCATCTCCGGTGGAGATTGCATAGCACCGGTGAGAAGATGCTCAAGTCAATGACTGCGAACAGTAAATAAAACTTGTTGTTTCCACAACAAGAAATTTGTTTCATCCAATACCATATTGATTTTCTTGTTAGTGAACATCGAATCACAACATTCAATAGAAAAAAAGCAAGAATCACATAAAGATTCGTTAATCAACCAAGAACACCATACCGAACTTATTGAGCAACCACCTTTCACGCTTAACAAGAACGCTATGAGTTACGCAACAAGAAACACGAGGCTCCAGGAACTTATGGCGATTGATACCAAGTGAGGAAGTAACTACAACGTCAAAGTGTAAAACCAGAATGCATATCGTTTATTCAACTATAACACTACTTATATACAAGTGTTTACAGCCAGCCCTTATAACTGCTCAACAGCTAACAGCTAACATTTAACAACCGTGCCTAACAGCTTCCCTAACTACACAACTAAATGTACACATTAGCTGACAACTTCATCATTCAACAGAGGTTAGTGCAAATTAAAGTGGGAGTTAAAGTGAACGAAGTGGGTGTGTTAGTGGAACTTCAGGATCCGATGGATGTTGATTCTGAATAGGATTCCTTCAAAGGATCTCCTTGTGTCTCGGGGTTTGAATAGAGAAGGATTTGACTGTATGTGTTGCTGGTGTGGGTCAAAGGTTGAGGAGATTAATCATGTGTTTCTAAAATGTTTTGTGATGTCAAATTTTTTGTGGGAGCTAGCTGATTGGTGGAACTTGAGTTGGCAGGAGTTTAATTGTATGGTGGAGATGTTAAATTTCTGTTTTGCAGTAAATCTAATTGCAAGTTTGAAAGGTGTATGGTTGGTTTGTATTGTTGTAGCGTTGTGGAGTGTATGGTTAACGCGTTCTTAATCTTGGAAGTATACACCTCCATTTTTGACAATTTTGTACCTACAAACAATTCATCCTAACCTATTGTCTTCTAAAAGTAAAATGTACTATGAAATAGGGACAGTAATAATATATTGCAATCACCATTAAAATCGTATTATTTTATTTACTTATAGAGAACCGACAATTTAAAAGAGGTTATGATGTCTTTTCATTTATGCACTTTGAATTAACCTTAGGCCCGAACTAATTTACATTAAAAAAATCGTTGTTGTTTTTAAATATTACTTCGAGCAATAGCGATTGTAATTAAGTGATTGAGTATTCACTATTAAATGGTTAAGGGTATTTAGAATAAATATTATTTTATAATTATCTTAGTTTAATAAAAAATAATATCTAATCCAATAAGAGTTTATTGTATCATACATAATTAAAATTAATCTTCAAATTTTTAAATATTTCAATTTTATCCTTAAATTATAATCTATAATTGATTTATATTTTTTCACCTATTATACTATTTTATTATTACTAAATGTCAATAATGACCAGTAGGTGAAAAATCAGCTTTATGTCCCAAGTTCCAACCAGACAGAATTAAATAATATAAGCAAATTGAAAGGGAAAAAAAAAGTATTCAGCCACCTCTCATTTGTCATTACCGACAAATAAGCACAAGGGAAATGTGGGTTCTAAAAGAGTTGTACTGCATCAACATCATTTAAAATTGTATATTATATTTATTATCAACTGATTTAATAAGATGAAATATTAAAAATTTTAAATATATTAAATCAAACGACCATATTAGTTAAAGAATCGTTGTTGTTCATTGAGTCTCGAGTTTGAGCACGCAAAATGTTCCAACAAATAAAAATTGTAGCTAAAGTTTTTTATATTATGCCCTTATTTCCGAATGTGTGAAAACCAACACTTGGGCTGACTATAAGGCTCCTTGACCACTATAAAAAGGGCACTTCTGATTGCACCATGAAAAGCAAAAACCTCCATGATGTCCACTACATACTTGCTGGTTTTGCTACTAGGAGTGGTGGCTCTCACCACTCCCTCTTTTGGTACCTACGAGTCACCCGACTATGGCAAACCACCTTCTCCTGTTTACAAGCCACCCTATGGCAAATCACCTCCAAATTATGAACCACCAAAGAAAGAGAAACCTGAGCCTAAGCCACCGGTCCATGAGCCACCAAAGAAAGAGAAGCTTGAACCCAAACCACCGGTCTATGAACCCCCAAAGAAAGAGAAACCCGAGCCTAAGCCACCGGTTTATACACCTCCAAAGAAAGAGAAGCCTGAACCCAAACCACCGGTCTATGAGCCCCCAAAGAAAGAGAAACCCGAGCCTAAGCCACCGGTTTATACACCTCCAAAGAAAGAGAAGCCTGAACCCAAACCACCGGTCTATGAACCCCCAAAGAAAGAGAAACCCGAGCCTAAGCCACCGGTTTATACTCCTCCAAAGAAAGAGAAGCCTGAACCCAAACCACCGGTCTATGAGCCCCCAAAGAAAGAGAAACCCGAGCCTAAGCCACCGGTTTATACACCTCCAAAGAAAGAGAAGCCTGAACCCAAACCACCGGTCTATGAGCCCCCAAAGAAAGAGAAACCCGAGCCTAAGCCACCGGTTTATACACCTCCAAAGAAAGAGAAGCCTGAACCCAAACCACCGGTCTATGAGCCGCCAAAGAAACCACCAACGTATGAGCCTAAGCCCCCAAAGCCACCGGTTTATGCACCACCAAAGAAAGAGAAGCCTGAACCCAAACCACCAGTCTATGAGCCTCCAAAGAAACCTCCGACGTATGAACCTAAACCACCAAAGCCACCGGTCTATACACCACCGAAGAAAGAGAAGCCTGAACCCAAACCACCAGTCTATGAACATCCAAAGAAGCCTCCAACGTATGAGCCTAAGCCACCAAAGCCACCGGTTTATACACCACCAAAGAAGCCTCCAGTGTATGAGCCACCTTATGGTCACTATCCAGGACACCCTCCAATGGGGAAGCCCTAATTGAATGGTCCCATCAGCTGGCAGCTATTATGGCTATTTAGATAGATGAGTAACCATAATACAATAAGAGTTGCTACCTAATCATGTTTAGTTTCCTTGTTCGTCATGTAGGCATGTTTTCTTCCATGTCATGTCAGCGAGATTGCTGATGGATGTACTAGTTGGATTTCCTATTCTGCATCTTCTTGTTTTTCAATAAGAATATATCCTGACTTCTAAATATATTTCAAATATGCCAACTAAATTATTTTCCTGTATTCTCATGCACGTGCATACCTTTTTGGTCATCCAAAATAGCTCCATACCAACTCAATTATCTTAACACAAATGTTATAAAAATGAGTAAACTATACGTTTAATACCTAAACTATCAATTTTGATTCATTTTAATATCGAAACTTTCAAAAAATTTAAAATCATACATAAAGTTTAGTTTTTGTTTTATTTTAGTATCGTCGTTCAAAATTGAAAATGTAGGTATTAAAACGGATAAAAATTGATAGTTTAGGTACTAAACGCGTTAAATTTTTTATGATGAAGGTACTAAAATGAAATAAAAACTAAACGTTAGGGATGATTTTGAAAAAATTAAAATTTAGGTACTAAAACAAACCAAAATTAATAGTTTAAGTATTAAATGTGTAGTTTACCTTATATAAATTGATCATTCCGCTGAACAATGTGAATATTTTTCTGCATTATTTTAGCAAAAATCTTATGTTTTGTTTATATGATGCAGTTGATGAATGATTAATAATCTTGCTAATCATTTTAACACAAAGAAATGGAATAATGATAATTCAAATAATGAGAATAATTATATCATGCTAATCTTATATTTATATATTTTTTTGCAAATAAAAACAGTTAGTTTATTCAAATTGATGAAATATCTAATAATTAAGGTTTATAACCATCGTTGTAAACTAAACACATAATTATGACATATTCATATTACAATTGAATTAAGAAATTAGCCACTTGATATCATAAGGACCATATAAAGAAAAAGTTAAAAATACATAAAAGAAAACTTGAACAAAAGATATATATACGAACAAATATAACTACATCAGTAAAAGAGCCACAATATGAGATCAAACTATTGAAAGATCACCGACCAGTGGGCTATCCATAAATTTAAAAATGGGGGTCCAAAATTTTAATTTTCGTTTCTTAAAAATAATGGGTATGCAAAAATTGTAATTTTTTTTTCTTTTTTCCTTAACATATTAAGCTAAATTTAACCACTTTTTAAAAATAATAGGGATGCACTTAGCCCCTATGGGGGCTTAGTGCATCCGCCACTGCCACCGACAATTGCAAATCAGTGTCGAACGTTGTGAGAGAACTCTCTCTAAACGCAAGCTACGTATCCAAATTTAATCTGAGGATCTAAATAAGAGAATATCAATAGGATAATAAATAAACGTCATCTTGATCAGTCAAGTGTCATCAAATCCAACTTTAAAAAAATTTAAAAATATAGCAAAATAATCGAAAATATACCAACAAATGGAAATAAATATATCATAAATATAGAGAAAAACATGTTATAGAAAGATAATCATATTTAAATATATTATATATTTATATATTCAAATACATTATATATTTATATATAGTATCAAATCATATTTATTTTTAAGGTAAACTACGCCAATGGTCACTGTTGTTTGGGTAAGTTTTTATTTTCACCACCAATGTTTAAAAGTTACAAATAGGTCACTAACGTTATCGTTTGTGACAAAATGGTCACTGGCCGTTAAGAGGTGTGACGAAAAATATAGCTGGACCGTTTTCTGCTGATGTGGATCATTGACCGCCATTTTGACTGGCTTTCTTATTCTTCAACCCAATCCTCATATTTTTCTTCACTTTTCTTCTTCTTTCTTTCTCTTCACTTTTCTTCACTTTCTTTCTCTTCACTTTTCTTCACGTATCTGAATTCCGAGGCCCTGTGTTACGGTTCAGGGAATATTTGTAAGCAATGTGAGGCTGAGCTCCCACTTGCACTGCCATTGACCCCATTGCTACCACAATTTCTGTCACGAAAAATGAAGCCATTTTCACCACCAAGGAAGTGCATTAGCAAGCTTTCCTTGGCTTTTTTTTATAGTTGGATCAATCGGAGCTTTGGCAGGGGTTTGCACTGTTTTTTATTGCTTATGGGTCGGAATGTGTGGGTTCTTGCTTCGCAAGACACATAACTCCGTGCAACCCACGGTTACAGATGCCAATATAATTATGACCGTTGTGGACAATAATGACACCATTGCCCCACCCGTAAGATCATTTTCCATCAGACGCAACAGCTCACGAAGATTAGGACGTGAAAGAAGTGGATCATCATCATCAAAACGTGCAGACAAAACCCAGCATTTTACGCTCTCAGAGCTTGCTGATGCCACCAACAACTTTTCAATGGAAAACAAGATTGGTGCCGGAAGCTTCGGGGTTATTTACAAAGGCAAACTTCCCGACGGTCGCGAAGTCTCCATTAAAAGAGGGGAGCCTTCAGCAAAGGTAAAGAAGTTCCAAGAGAAGGAAACCGCTTTTGAATCAGAATTAGCATTGTTATCACGGCTTCACCACAAGCACTTGGTGGGGTTATTTGGATTATGAGCAATGGATCACTTTATGATCATCTGCATAACAAAGATAACATTGAGAAGAGTGAGCATTTTAAATTCATGGAAAACGAGGATAAAAATTTCACTAGATGCAGCAAGAGGGATTGAATACCTCCATAACTATGCAGTGTCACCTATAATTCATCGAGACATTAAGTCGACGAACATACGATCGGATGCAGTTTTTGGGGTTGTATTGTTAAAGCTCTTGACAGGAAGAAAAACTGCTTTTAGAAATGAAGAAGATGGGCCTGGGACAATAGGAGTGGTTGAGTATGCAATCCCGAGGTTATCGGCAGGGGATCTTCGGACAGTGGTAGATCGAAGAGTTGGGGTGCCGGAGATTCACGAGGCTGAGGCAGTGGAGCTGATGGCCTATACAGCTATGCAATGTGTGAATTTGGAAAGAAAAGAGAGGCCTAATATGATTGACATTGTCGCACAATTGGAGAAATCATTATCATTTTACCGGGACAGCCCTGCTAGTGTCTCTCTTCTAGAACAATTTTCATTCCTTCAGAATGAGCTTCTGGAAGAGTTTGTTCTTTTTTATTAAATTTTTAAATCTAAATAAAAGATTAAAAGTGGAAAATGAGTTGTTATATCGAAAACAAGCGTATCTCACGAGCAGCAATAGCCTGGAATGTCTCCACTCAACAATGAGAATTATGTCATGTGTGTGATAAGAGGAGAAGAAGAAAAGTGAAGAGAAAGAAAGAAGAATAAAAGTGAAGAAAAAGAAGCTGGAGAATGGGGTGAAGGAGAAGAAGAGCCGGTCAAAATGACGGTCAACGATCAACGTCAGTTGATAACGGTCCAGCTGTATTTTTCATCAAGCCTCTTAACGGCTGTTAACGGCCAATGACCATTTTGTCACAAACGATAACGTTAGTGACCTATTTCTAATTTTTGAAACATTAGTGATGAAAACAAAAATTTACCTAAACATTAGTTCCCGCTGCCGTAGTTTACCCTTATTTTTATGTAGGAAATTTTCAAATCCTATCTCGACCATGAAATCGTGTTTACTACCTATGGGCACCTAATCCATGTAAGGTTCATTAAATTATTATTAGTTTTTTGCACCGACAGACACACGTAGACAGGCATGTCATGATGAGATACGTGGTGATGTGGAAATCCGACATTTGTTATTTTTCAGTCGGAATTTGGTGGAAAGTAAATCCGTAGAAATTCAATGATTTCTAACAACTTATTTTATATTTACACAAATCTATACCTAATTTTAGCATATAAGCATAGGGATTATTCTTCTACGGTGGACAAGCAATGATGAGAATTATTAAAGACGAATATTATTAATTTAATTTATAAAATATAAATTTTAAAACACTTAATTTATATTTATAAATTAGTTAAAAATTTAAAGATAAATTGTTTAAAATAAAATATAAACTATACTAGTGACCACTTAATTATTGTCCCTTTTCATTTTCATCAATATTTTTGAGATTTTGTCAATCATGTCTCTCAACTATTTAAATGCATTCAATTAAGTCATTTGCCGTTAATAATTAATGAAGAAGATGCTGTGATAATTAAAATATTTAGTATAATTACACATTTGATCATTGTTACTTATATATTCTATCAATTTGGTCCTAATTTTAATAAATTAAAATAAACTTAACCCTCAAATTAAATGACACCATGTATAATGACCCATAATTTAACTTTTTATTTTAATTTATTTTAATTTTAAAAGTTACGACATATTCTATATTTATAAAAAAAACAAAATTTATAACAAAATCTTTTTCTAAAAAAATTGAAAAACTCAAGCAATAATTTATGATATTAAATTTAAAGCAAACTAAATTTATCGCCATTTTGATGTAGGTCAATCTCTTAGTGCAAAATTTTCCATGCTAAGTCTACCGAGAATCTTATCAGTATAAACTTTTATTAAAGATGGACATAAAATTTTATGGTAGGAGATGAATGTTTAAAATTTGAAAGGAAGACTGTATCAAACGTGAAAGAAATATATGTCACATTTTTCTATTAGAAATTTATTGGATACAAATTTCTTAGTTTTACAGGTTAGATTATGTCACATTTTTTCTAGTAGAATGTCATTTACAAATAGTAGTAGGATACAAATTTTGTCCAACGAACTTTATATGCATGGGCTCGTCAACTATATTTTCATTAAAATCAAAAGAGCTTATGGTACCATTGACGGGATGCTTTTGAGAACCATAAATAGAATTTCTAGTAAAAAATTTATTTTGTTATAAATATATAATATGTCGTAACTTTTAAAATTTTAATTTATTAAAATTAGGACCAAATTGATAGAATATATGAGTAACAATGGCCAAATGTGCAATTACACCAAATATTTTAACTGCCACATCAACTTCTCCGTTAAATATTAACGGCAAGTGACTTAATTGAATGCATTTAAATAATTGAGAGACTTGATTGACAAAATTTGAAAAATATTGATGAAAATGAAAAAGGACAATAGTTAGATGATCACTAGTATAATTTACCCTTTCTTTTATATACTTTATCTTTAAATTTTTAACTAATTTATAATTATAAGTTGAGTCCTTT